TAAAGGCATAGTAGATATCTTATGCTTATGATGTATATTGTCAACAATAAATTTATCAATAACTGCGACCAACCAATTGCTAAGTACGAGTGTTGTTCTGCAAGGGAAATTTTGAACGCATTCAACATACAGAAATACTTTTATGCGGATCCTGACGACGTACACCTGGACCATTTGCCACAAATTGACTATAGAACGGGGACACTTGAGGCAAAGACCAGTTTTCTACAAAAAAACACAGAGGGAAGTGGGACAGAAAAACTTGCTTCGTTTTTTCAATCGGGTGGTATCGTCAAGGGGACCTGAAAGGCGTAACGTATCCGGCATCCTGTGCTATAGTAATCATGATAATTTCCAGCGTCGGGCTGTAGACTTAGAACGTGAGCAGACTGTTCATCGGCATCATAGTCAAAAAACATGACGATGGGAATTATCATGAGTAATATGGCAGAAGAGGATGGAAAAGATATGCCACTCTAGAACGCTTTGACGACAAGACAATGTTGCGAAAACGGAATCGGGCAGATGTCTAAGTATGCTTCTAGCTCGAATTACGACATTTCTCGCGGGCCTCGTGTCAAATCTGGAAGCAGTTTATGCTATGATATTTACAAAGAAGTGAGGGTAGATGTCTCCTTGTTTAGATTCATCGATCATCCAAGCGGCGTAGTGAAACACAATGAGAAGTCGAAGAGATGACTTGACGGCTGACCGGATGCCTGACTGGACGGCTGTTAGATTGGCCGAATCCAAGATTAGCCACTGGGATTTCGAGCCGGTCTGATGGCTGATCCGCTGCCTCGACTGATGGCTGGCCTGATGAATGATTGTCTTCTGGTCTGAAGATTTGATTAGCCTGACATTCGACATGCTACCTGGTGTGCTGATAAAGGCTTGTCTGCCTCTTGTCCTTTTGTCAGGCCGTTCGTTAAACCCGAAAATCCATAATTCCCGTCTTCACCAATAGATTGCCTCAGAAACTCAGTTTTTGCACATATTGTATCATCTAGGTCATACATGATGATTCAAAGGTATGAAGAAAAAGTGGGTTTCGAAGAATGCCTTAGTGATGTACTGTGACATGAGTTTCCATTTAGAGGGAATAATTGGTTGGAAGGGGTTCGTGATGTGGTTTCCCCGGAAACCGAAGTAGGATCGCCGCGTAGGAAGGGCTGTTGTATTGTGCAAAGAAGTCCTCGGCTCACCATCCTACGATCCAGGGCAAAGTTTATTATATATTTTGTGCTATTTCATAAAGTATGGATTCCTGTGCTGATGATGTCCATCACAGTACAGACAAAAGATAAGCACAGGTTGATTGGGGTCGCAGAACGGTGAGCCGATGACTTCTGCCCCAAACCGTAATCCTCCTCCGGTTTCCGGTGAGACCACATCACGAATTCCTTGCAACCAACTTTTCCTTCAAAATGGAAGGTCATATCACAAGATGATTCAAGAACCGCAAATCGTGTCTCGTCATCGTAACTTGAGGCCGAATTGCAGGCCCTGGTCGCGGTATCATCTTTGAAAATTCACATAAACACTCGCCAACAGGACAAGTTGAACGCAGCCATGCCAACTCGAGGTCGGATGACACTTTTACCAGAGAGCACGAGTTTCCTGGTGGCTGACCGCAGATGCATGCCTCAGAATGAGACCAATGCACTAGTCACGCAAATTGAAACCGTCTAGGCGGTTGACCAACAAGGTTGCAAGCTTCAGCAATCACCAGTTCGTTGTAGGAGATCCCTGAATAGTGAACAGTTGTGTGGACCTTTCAATTAGCAATTGTTCGGAAAACTTGAGGACTGCTTGGCTCTGTGCCACACGCAATAGGAACAGGTGGCTATTCACAGTCATGGGGAGTGCAACCCACGCTTGCGTGCCTAACTGGTTAGGTTATTATCCTTTTCTATTTGTGTCTCCAAGCGTCTCAATGTCGGTATTTGCCTAAAGGAGTGCATGCATATGTGGTTTCATCCTTTCCCAAGACTATAGAGAATAATGGTATTGAAAGATAGCATTCAGACAGAAGCGAAGTTAAAAAATACCAAGAATGTTCGAAGCAGATAAGGTCAGTGTTTCAGACACTAATGCGCTCGTTAACCCCGTTAGTTTTTCGTTTTCATGCTTTAGCCTTGAGTCGTAGTGGCAGAACGACCACAGAACCCTGTGGGCATTTGGGTGTATTGATGCGTCCGTACATCATAACTGGCTATTGGTCGACCAGAATAATAATTTTAGAGAGAAAAAAGTTTTAATAATCCAAATACGGCTGTAAAGAAGCCCTAACTTCAGCTCCAAAAAGGATACTCTTCCTTTCCACTGCTCCTGCCGGCACCCATCTCTTCCAACTGTTCCCATTCCCCACCCTGATTACACACAGTTGCTCTTTGGCGTTAAATATCCCTCACTCTCGGTGTGCATGTAGCAACCAGGCTTATGAAAACAAGCGCCGAACACACTCTGGGACAGCTGGAGGCAACTGGCTATGTATGTACTTATTATAGAAGGGCCCATGCGATAGAGATGAGAGGATCTTCCAGCTGCCTGTGGCGGAAAAGCATCAACACACCTCTTGCCCCAACTTCAGTTTGTCAGTCGTTGTTTTTCTTTAACATAACATTCCATCAAAGTATAAAGTGCGCAAAGATGGGCAGACGTAAGAGGTCGTTTTCATGTGCTATTAACCTGTAGCTAAGCGACATGAATTCCCATGTCTTCGAAATGGCATTTTCTTAGCATTCGTGGATTGGATGATGTTAAACAAATCACTGGACATTTAACTTTGAAGGAATCATGGAGCTTGTGCTAGTTGCTGTAGCTGTAGTGTCATAAAGGCGTGCTATAGTTTTGGCTAATAAACTTCAGGCCTTTTTCATATTTTATCTCGTTGGGTCATATCTTAAAAATATGTCCTTTTATAGTGGGAAACGATTTAATTCTGGATTCGCACGTTCTAATTTAGAATGTGACTGTAAATGTCGAAGGATTAAACCCGACGGAAGGAGGAAATCCGGACTAGAGTTTAGGGTAGAATAAGTATAAAAATCAAGCTTCGGCCCAAATTCCGCCTTGCAACATCAAAAGACTTGACTTTAGACCGATAGGAATAGCATCCTAATTTTAACTTAAGTGGCACTTGGAAGCGTTACTAGTCTTTTTCGCCCATAGATATACAATATATGAAGAGTAACATGTTTTTTTATGAATATCTTGATTTATCATTGTGTAATAAACAGTCCACACCAAATGACAGACATACTCAGAGCCGGAACGCACTCGTATAGCGACTTCAAGTTGAAAAAAGTCAAGAAAACTAATAGGTTCAATACTGCCAAATTAAGGACTGTTAAACAGTAGACTAATCGGAAACCACTGCTATCATCTGGTAGGAGCAACCTAACCAATCACCACACTTTCGCACACACAAATTAGCTCAACATTAGCCGCACAAAATACAAAATAAATTAAAACACCAAATTATTAATAGCACTATCTATTTAGGACTTGCAAATATTTTATTGAAAAAATACAACATAAGTGAAGAAAGCAATTCAAAACTAAGCAACACCAACAAAATAAGAATACTAAGGAATTTTTCGTTTAGAAGTAGGTTTTTGAGACAAACATTACATCATATATATGAGGTATATTTAACCTATATCGTTTAAGATGATAAGGTGATAATGGCACATTGATAATGTGAATTTGCCCACAATTATATGAATAGACATTGCGTTTCCATTGAATTTCACACAGCCTTGCTTTCCAAAAAGCTATTCTCATCCAGGGTGGAC